GTATTTGAGAGGCATTGCAGTAGATATTGTTAAGAAAGATGCGCTCTAGATAGGTTCCTCTTACTCTTTGCATTCGCACCTGCGTCTTGGCAATAGCTAGGGGAACGAGGGAGGAAGCAGCTATCTTTCACACAAAGGAGCAATTATACGCTATACTGTAATAGGTGGCGCCATGGTCAAGTCCACCAATCTAGGCCAAAAAGAGGAGCGAAAAGGGGGTCGGATCCAGCGCGATGCCCAATCGAGACGAACAAGGCCTGACCCGCAGCAGTCGCAGGGAGATAGTGAGGGAGTGAGATCCAAACAAAGTGGAACGAGTGTATTGTAAGGTCTGAGGAGCTCGATAGAGCTCTGAGCTGACTATATACTGGACGAGAAAGGAGCTATGCCTAATGAGTGAATAGTGCAGTACACATGGGTATGATATCGCGTGAGACACGTGCGACAGTCTGCCGGCGGGGGCTGGTAGCTGTGCGAACCGCAGAGTCTGTGCGCGCGTCGCTGCAAAGGAAAATCAAAATCTACTGCGCAGTCGCTAGGCTGAGGTATTAATGTCCCAGGCACAGCTAGAAGGTGGAGAAACCTATTAATAGTGTTGGTGGTTGTCGTGGTTGTCGTGGTTGTAGTCGTGGTCTGCGGGCGGGGCTTGTCGCTGGGGCGCGAACTGCAGAGCCTGTGCGCGTTTCCTTGCAAAAGGAATAATAAAAATCAACTGCGCTGTCGCCGCGCTAGAGAATTGATGCCATGAGCACAGCTAGGAAGTAGAGAGCTGTGTTGTCGGTCGTGGTTGTTGTTGTGGTCGCTGGTTGGGTGGTGGTCTGCGGGCGGGCGCTGGTAGCTGGTGCGGCAAACCTGCAGAGAGGAGCCTGTGCGCGCGATGCCTGCGCTAAGGAAAATCAAAATCCACCGCGCAGTTAGGGTTACGACAAAACACCACCACACCTGTACATTTTTGTAAAAAAAACACTGGCGGGGGCAAGTTTCGGTCAAAACCTAAAAGTTTGCCCACTATTATAATAGGGTCCAGGCACAGGGCATATATCGGATAGAGTAGCAGTGTAGGAGCCGAAATCCAGAAACATGTAACTATTATCGTATTCAGAAACTGAGTGCTATAGTTCGAGGCGTCATTGAGATTTGATGCTATCACGGTACATCCGCGACGTTTCCCGTCCTAGCACGTCAAACACCCAGTCTCGGCAACATCAAGCACCTGGGCTCTCAGAAATTCTCTAGCTTCCTTCGGCTCTCTGTACAGACCACAACACACTTCGATAGATATAAGTTCGTCTCATATGCGTCCCCGTCTCCCGTACCCGTCTTCATAAAGAAGGGTGCTACGACCAGTTCGACCTTCATGCCGAATTTCGCTGGTTCAAATCCTTGGGCCGATGCAGATATTTCTTCGTCAAATTCAAATCCGAGACCACCCTCCTCTGGGCCACTCCACCTGTCGAAAGTGAACAGTGCTCTAGACATGTGGATCTCCTTATCTAGTCTTACTGTTGTCTGAATGATCTCACGGAGATCTGTCCACACTTCTGATTTCTTACACGTGACGAAGGGACTGAGTCTTTCCCGGAAGCGGTCTTGCATACCGGTAATGAGAAGATCGATGTCCGGTTCTGTAGCTACCTCAGCCACAAGAATCGCACTCTTCGCCTTCCATGCACTATACTCTTGGACCTGCGATTGTCGAATCTGCCCCGTCATTAAGAGCTCTTGAGTTGCATAGCCATCTCCTGCTTATTGTGAGCCTTCTATACGAATAGCGAAATAGGAGTGGATGTATCTTACCGAATTGGAGGGCCTTCTGGACTAAGCGCAAACCGGGGCTGAGACGACCAGCCCACAGTAAACCGTTTAGTTCCGAGCCTGAGTACAAGATGTTCTCTACTAACATTCTCATCACCAAGCTTTGGATGAGTACGGGCCTAAGGACTTCTGAAGAAACGTATTGACGATAATGGCGGGTGAGCGATTTGAGTGGCAACAAGTCGGCCTCGTGAAAGGATGCATCGCGTCCTCCACAGTAATTACTCGCCCAATTTCCAACCGAATAGATTACCTCCCCGTACGTTGCTTTCAATGTATTGTCGTCCACTTTGTGAACGGAACTCTGCTGACGCAGCTTTGCCACTTCTTCTGTCGATTCTTTCCAAGCTCGTTCTAGTTGCTCCGTACGTTGGTACGAGTCCGAAAGGTTCTTTGTTAACTGGTCCAGTTGTGCTTGTAGATCTCGCATGCTGCGTTCTTGTTCCCGATGTCTTATTTCTTGTTCTCGAAGGCGCGTTGACGACTGCAATCGCCTTTGCTGATCTGCCTGAATCGTTCTTTGAAGGTCCTGAATCTTCGACTCCTTGGCGCGTATCTTATCAGACTGCATCTGCATCGTCTCTCGGTTCTCATTCACTGCATCTAGGTACCGTGCATTTTCTCTATCTCTGAGCCGAATTTGGACTCTGAGGGAATCGTTTTCCTCACGTAATTTTATTGGATTCTCCTCAGACGTGAACTCGTTGGATCCACTCTCGGATTGCGATTGTTTGAGCGGCGGATTCACTCTTTCGACAAGGTTGCTGGGGCCATCATTCACCTCGCGGTTATCCGTCCGTGGCGTGGATTTGCTTCTTGGTGCACTGCCTTCTATTCAGCGTCGAATGAACTGAATGTGGGTGCGGTGAACCTTACCCTCTCGATGACGGCTCTCGTTCGTCTATAACATCATCCATTTCAGGATTCAAGTGAGTGTTTGTGGTTTTTTGTGTTGATAAAATCCTCCCCGATGTGGGACCGTTACTTCGTGGGTTCGTTGTTTGAGAATTTTGCAGCCCCGACCGTTCGATCGAACCACGCTCGAGACCGTCAACATCCTGATTCGGCTGGTGTGCACTAATCGCTCCCGGGCACTCCCTTTCCTCTCTTCTATTCCGTGAGTTATCTATAGGTGGAAGGGGTTTTTCTTCTCCGGCCCGGATCGCCACCTCTCTTGCCTTAGATGCAGTAGCCTCGGATCTTACGATTGGCATATCGAACCGAGTGAGTCGGGAGCAAAGTAGGAAAGTAAAGAGAATTGAGGAGATGGGGGTGAATGCGTGTTTAATAGGCAGACGTAATGCGAGCCGGGCTTCCGCCGCACTATCTGGGGTGGACGTCCGGTGGACGCCTTGACGCCACAGCCTTGCCAAGCCTCGCTACTACTGTATCTTGGCACCTGACGCCCAGCCTCAACTAACGCACAATTTTGCCAGGAACTTTAAAATTACCACATAATACTAACTCTACTAATATAGATCTAATTTTAAGAGTAATTTAATTAGCACTATTATAAAGGTATTGTAGAGTCTAGGGCTTCTATATAAAGTAATAAAATACAAAAGCTTACTTAAAAGTAAGAATATCGCAAGCGTTAGTAAATTATTCGCTTAATATTATATAATTACTTGTAAGGCCGGATGTCTTAGAACAGGCTAGTATAGCCTCACCCGACCTGTTTAGAGGTTACATGACCTGTGCTTTGTATATAAGCATGAATCCTAACGAGCGAGGCTTGGCAGCGATTTGTCTCTCTTACAATACACTCCTATCTTTCTTCGAAACCTGGCTCTTAGTGCTATCTGTGCTATCTACTATCCCATCTTTACAATTATGGCCGGAACCCAGCGATCACAGCGATCGCTAGCGGGTATATAGTCTTAATCTTCCTCTACTGTTTAGAAGATTGTAGTTGTTCTTACCTTTAAGGCATAGCCTTAGGTATAGTAATATATCTAATATTATTTCTAATCTAGTGTGTGCAGAAGATCTCTTCCTATTTACAAGAGAACTAAAGCTACGTAATCATCTTATACCTTCACCTTGTCCTGTCTTTTTGTTGTTCTCCTCTCTTACTAGACGTCTAGCTAGATTGTACAAATAACAGTACACTCTTTGTACCCTGTTATATGTTAGAGAAGTATTGTTACAATCGCTACTTAACAGGGGCGAGTTACTGCTACCACTAGTACGTGGGGCTAAGAGGAGAGGTGGTTAGAAGGAAGAGCAAATACAGTAGCAGGTGTAAAGTCTACCTTGTATTTTTTAGAGATTAAGAAGAAGGTAGGCCTAATTATCGTTTACCTGCTAACAGTAGTATAAAGCGCTTAGAAAACAATCTTAAAAAGATAAAAATTAAAAGAATATATAGTGTAAGATATTTAATAGTATAACGTACCTAACGGGTTGGCCGGCCACACGGGTTGGCCGGCCACTTTTGCCAAGCCCCCACTAAAACCACCCTATTCTCTCGCAAAACAGCCCACTTTAGCCCTGTATAAAGTAATACAACATAAGATATTATTTAGAGTCTACTTCTGCTACTTGCTTACATGTACGCAAGTTATACCTAGTCTAATTGCACTACCTGCATTGCCTTTAACTTAGCTTACCTCTTTTAGCGCGCACCTGCGTCTTTAGCTTCTTCCTATTACTACGCGCTCTAAACTCCTTTAGAGCAGTTAGACAAGCCTTATCCTTAACTATTAAGGTTTTTTCTGCCTAAATCTACTTCCTTTTATGCAATTTATGTTACGTGGCAGCCTTATTTACTGCTTAAAGCTCTGTAATCTTATAGCCTACTTTATTATGTTAATGCCCTAGATAACTATTGTCTACTTTTTATTACCTTACTGTATTGCCTTTAGCTGTCTTTGTCTCTCTAAAGCTATAATAACTGCTCTAGTTAATATCTAGCCTATTATAAAGCCTAACTTGTTAAAGTTATACCTGTCTTTATTCTAGATACTGTACTTAGCTTTTATGTTAGCTACTAGGCAAAACTAGCCCTAGATAACTTCTAGATTCTTGTAGAGCACTTTCTTATAATTATACTTATAATTAAACTTTATTATAAACTTAGGGCAGTGCTTAACCTACATACTAGTCTAGTTTAAGCTAACCTGGCCTAAATTGCGCTCTGCAGGTAAGGAATTAGCTATATTAGCTACAGCTGCAAGCTTAGAAGGAAATCTGCGTGTAATAAGCTTAAGTATGTACTTAACAACTACTTTTTTTTTAAGCTTAGTTAGATTCCTTAATTTAGGCTAGCATTCTGCTTATAAAGGCTGTCTAGCGCGTTAATTGCTTAGTGTTGTGTAAGAGACATTATAGATAGCTGCAGCGCGTTACAAGAAGAGTTTTAAGTCTTATTTAAAAGCCTAAAAAGCAAGCTGTATCTAACATTCTTTAAAAAATTTAATCTAGTGTTGTTGTTAAGGCATTATGTAGATAGGTAGAGTTTAGTAGGGGCTTGGCAAAAGTGGCCGGCCAACCCGTGTGGCCGGCTAACCTGTTAGGTACGTTATAAGTTATTAGAAACTTAAAATGCTACTTAGTCTATGTAAAAAATAAACTAAAAATTAATTACACTTTCTAAAGGTTAATTAAAGGTATACCTATATAAAGTGTAGACGTGTAATTCGCGCTATGCTTGCAATGCTTATTCTTCTTAAACATAGAAGTAGCGTGCACTACGCTTACTACAAGCATTCTTTTATTAGATAGAGTAGTTTTCTAAAATAATATTTAGCTAATTAGAAGCTTATTTCTTTATTTAGTTACATAACCTAGTTTACTTTTCTATAAAGAGGTTCTACTACTGCTTGTCTAATAGTAGAGAATTCTTAGAGTATTTACTTATAGTCTAACTACAGACTATAACACATAGGTCTCTCTCTCTAGCAGCGTTCTTACTACTCTAGCTACACTATTATAAGTGTTAGAAATTTGTTATTACCTACAAGTTACTTTTTATAAAGCCTACTTATACATTTATTCTTTTCAACTTATATTATGCTTTTTTATAACTTTAAATTTTACTGCTTTTATTTTAGTTAATACTTTAATTTTTTTTACTATTTAAAAATGCGTTTTTATAGTTCTTACTATGCTTTTTTAGTTGTTTATATAATGTTACTTTTTTAAAAGACTTATATAGAATGTGTTTAAAAAAGTTATAATAACACTTTTGTCTTTAATTAGCTTTAAAAGAGACTTAATTATAACTAAAAAAGATTTTATTAGAAATAAAGCAAGCGTAGAAGGTGCAAGTTGCTACACTTAAACAACATGCTCTTACAAAGGCTAAGTAGGCTATAGCTGCTTATAAAGTGTCTTAGGCTTTTATAAAAAAGGTTTAACTAAAGAAACAGCTCTCTTCTATTTAAAATTATTATGTAAAGTATATTATAAAAGGTCTATTATCTGTAGACAAGCTAGAGGCTTTAAAAGTAAAGGCAGCTAGCTATTCTACTTACTACTTATAAATAGACAGACAAATAGAATAAGCTAACTAGAAAATTAAAAAGTACTTAAAAAAGTATAGTTCCTTTAAATAAACAGACTAGGTAAAATAGGTTCTTCTAGCTAAACTAGTAACTAACACTATAGAATGTGTAATAATAAAAGAGACACTACACTGCGCTAATTATAGTTACCACCTACACTTCTCTATAAATAGCGCCTAACTCTAGAACCTTGTAAAAGCTATAGAATAGATAATAAAGTTATAGAACCTATATTAAAAATTAGGTATTAAAGTATAAGCTAGATAGCAAAGAATAAAAAGCTTTGCTAATAGAGACTAAATAACAAAGCTAAAGATAGGTTAAGAAAACTATGTTTATTTAAGTATAAAAATCTAAAAATGCTACGCTTATTAAAAAAACTAGCTAAGAAACAGATTAGTCTTTATAAAGTAACTTAAGTAAAAAAAGATAACTATAAAATACAGCTACTCTAAACTATAAAAATATATCTATAGTTTTATATATCTAAGCTTAAGAAGGCTTTAAATAAAATACCTTTATCTACTAAAAAATAAAAAGACTCTAAAATAGAATATAAAGTAGAATACATAATTAACTTTAAAAATAACAAAATAAACTTCTTAGTTAAATAAAAAAGATAGCTTACTAGTAAAAATATAAAGAAACTTTTTAAAAACTTATAGAATGCTTGTTAAGCTTTAAAGAAATTCTAGATGTCTTACTTAAAGAGAACTAGCTAGGCAAAAAACGTTTAAGCTTAACTAGGTCCCTACTAAATAGAGCTAGCACTACAGCCTTATTAGTTAGATAGCTGTGATGTAGAAGAACAAGAACCTAAGAATATAGGCTAGAGAGTAGAACACTCTACTGCCTCTGCTTTAAAAGCCTTTAGCTTATTAATAGTTAAAAAGTTCTTTATAATATACTTTACTTAACAATCTTATAGAAGAGATAGCTGCTTCTTTAAACAAAGGTTCTTTACAGAAGCTTAAAAAACCTTATAGAATACTGCTACTTACTTAGCCTTAGTAATAGCATAATGCGTAAGTGCATAAACTTGCACCTTTTAAGCCTACTTTATCTTTTGTAAGACTCTTCGCTAGTTGTAGTTAAGTCTTTTCTAAGCCTAATTAAAAATAAAAGCATTGCACTAGGTCTTTTCTTTAACACACTATACGTAAGTTTTAGAAGAATAAGACATTACACACACTATAGACAAAGAATACCAAGGGCTATAAAGATACATATTTAAATAGTAAAGAGAATTAAGATACTATATAAAACGTAGATAACAGAACTTTAAACTATAACAAGGCATGCTGTAAGTTAAAGAAAGTAGATGTATAGAGAGGCTTTATAGAAGGCAACTTATAAGTAATAAAGGAC